CAGCTGACCGTATAAAAGTTGTTTCGGTCTCCGCGTCGTATCCATACGGCTCACAAGTCCGAGCTACCTCAGTGCCCTAAGCAAAGGTATGCAGTCCACTGCATACATTCCACTTTGTCGCAACATTTCCGTGTCTGCAACTCTGTCGCCCCAACCGATGCGCAAAATCCGTCGCAAGCACTGCTGATGGAACCGCTCGGGATATCGCACATCCCGCCGGTACATCGTCCACGTTTCACCGCCGTATAGAAGAACGGACAGCACCATTGATTTGTACACCATCGGCTTCGTGCCAATGGTAAGCTGATGGTTATTCCACACTCGGTACTCTGGCTTCCCGAATGCCGCCGCTGCCTTCGACACGCGGATACGAAGCTCACCGTGTATCTGCTGATCAGTCGACATCACACTCCTAAGGTAGCAGAAGCGGGAGGTGGTTTCCAATACTTCAGCACCAATGCTGATTCGCGGCAATATTGAAGATTGCACCTCCGGTGAAGGCTGAAACAAACAGACAGTTACGCTTTTGTTGCTGGTGAGCCCGAATTTGGCCGCTGTCGAAGCCAGAGGAGTAGTCATATTCTGCAACTCATCCGCGCTGTGTGCAAACAACGCACAGTCGTCAGCAAACAGCAACATACGGATAGTTGTCTCACAGACTAGAGTTCTCACACGGAAACGACGGATATTCAGCAACCCACCATCAGTACGGCGCTCCACACGAACACCGTAAGCGCAAGCGGCATCCAAATCGCAGGACAACATTGCATGAAGATATATATCAAACAGGGTAGGAGCTAAGACAGCCTTGCTTCACACCAGAGACAACTGCAAATTCATCCGAGGTCTCTCCACTCAGTTGCACGCTTGCTCGCATACCACTGTGCAGACATTCAATTAAACTTACAAACTTACGCGGGCAATCAAGCATACCCAACACCAGCCACAATGCCTCGCGGTTCACCGTATCAAATGCCTTGGTGAAATCAACAAAAAGCGAGTACAATGGCTGGAGTCGTTCTCTGTACTTCTCCTGCAACTGACGAGCCGCAAACACCATATCTATAGTGTTGCGACCCGAACGCAACCCACATTGCTCTTCCGCCACGTTAGGTTCCCCAACCTGACTGATGAGGCGGTTGAGCAGGATTCGGGCAATCACCTTGCCCACACAACTCAGCAAATCGATGCCACGATAATTCCTGCAACATTGCTTGCTCCCTTCGCCCTTGTACAGTAAGCACAAGGGCATCCTTCAGCTCAGGAGGCACCTCCTCCTCAATCCATACACGTTGCACCAAGTGGTGCAGCGCAGTCAACAACGCGGGTCCTCCGTTTTTTAATACTTCAGGCGGGATCCCGTCGGCCCCAGCACACTTGCCGTTTCGCAGCTGAGCAAGTGCTCTCTGCGTCTCATCCAGTGTCGGCGTGTCCGCCAGTCTCGTCTTCACATCGTGCTGCTTCACGCAGTTCAATGTAGGCTAGTCGATCTCTGAACAGTTGTTCAAGAGACAGTCAAAGCGTTTTCGCCAAATCTGCAGTCTGTATGCAGGTAGCGCCTGAATTACCATCGATCATCGTCCTCAGCGGCTCCAATCTTCGTCCATACACCGCCTTCAAGGGGTCAAAGAATTCCTTGTGTTGGCGGCGTGCGGCGTAGCATTCCATCTGCTTCGCCTTCTCCGTCCACCATGCATTTTTAATGCGACGGAGCTCTCGGGTCAGTCGCCGTCGAAGTTTGCGAAACTGACTACTCTTCCTCAAGTCACTGGGGTCTGCGACATGTGCAGCAAATGCTGCATTCTTCCCCGACACCAATGCGCCAATCATCACATTGTTGTCATCAAACCAATCAGGCCGTTTACAGTTTACGCGCCCCATGGTCTCCTCGGCAGTAGCTGTCACCTGGTCGCGAATGTGGTGCCACAGGTCGCCCACTGTGGCTATGCAGCCAGCGCCTTCTCCAGCTCAGTACGTTTCATCACAGTACCGAGGGAGAGAATGTTAAATTTACGCCCATTCACGGCGGGAGTGCACTATATAGATTTACGAAAATATATGTACAGTTTGGTGCGCACCAATTTATGATCAGTGCCACACTCAGCTCCACGCAGTACGCGTGTCATGCGCACTTCACGCATATCACACTGACGTACGATGACATAGTCGAGCAGGTGAGCGTGACCACTCCGTGGGTGTGTCCAAGTTGCTATATCACTCGCACTCAGTGTAAACCGCGTGTTCGTGATCGTCAGGCCGTGAGTGGCACACAGTGCGAGCAGCCTGTCACTGTTCGCATTCACTGAACCAATGCCATGCGAACCGATAACATCTGCCCACACCGATGCATCGCACCCAATGCGCACGTTGAAATCACTCAGCAGGAATAGTTGGTCGATCCTCGGCACAGACCGTATCACGGAGGATAGCTGAGTGTAGAATTGATCACGCGTGTCATCAGGATAACACATGGTCGGACCGTACGTGCTCATAAAAGTGGCAAACTTATTTCTTCGGAGTCGTAGGCGAACAGTCATCAGTCGTACGCTGATGCCTGTTGGTACATCCACCAGCTGGCCATGGAGGCGATCGGATATTGCAAAGCCGACCCCATGATCACGTGGTGCTGAGGCGGCGTTGCCCACCCAGTAGAATGTGTAGCCAGCACCTGCTTCATGCAATTTACCTTGCTCAGCGAGTCTGGTTTCACTGAGGGCCGCAATATCGATGTGGTAACGCGCCAGCTCTATCGTGACCAGTGCAGTGCGTCTCTCGGGGCGCTCACTGCAGTTCCAGTCCAGTAGTGTCCGAAGGTTCCAGCACCCGATGCTGAGTGCTTTGCGCGCAGGCATACGATTGCATTGGTGGGCAATCGCACGCGAGGTGGTCATTGTGCTTCGGAGGTTTGCTTGACGGACTCCACCCAGAGCCTTTGGTTTAATAGCCTTACCCACAAGGCAGTGGGTGATTTGGAGTTTTGCTTTAGAGACTCCGCCGAGCCTTTGGCTCAATAGCCTGACCCACAGAGCAGATCCAGCTCGGGAATGTGATTACAGAGACAGATTGGGATCTGCTTGACGGCCGTCACGCGCAGCCTTGGAGGTACTGGAACGATTCATATATGTTTTGCGACCGTAGTAGGATACGCACCTGCGACCACGGCCAGACGCAGGTGGGTTTGCGCCAATTTGACCAGGGGCTGTCTGGCTTGAAGCGGGCAGTAGCAAACCATTGAACACCCGGAGGTGCCCTTCCACCGTCAGAAACAATGTTTGGCGCTTGTGCTCTACGCCAATCGAGTTGTGAGCTTACAACCCGTAGACCTGTTGTCTCCCATGGCTAGGTTTTACGGGAAGAGGGCCATCGACCACTTCCTAACCTCCGAAGAGAATGGACTAGGATACTGGCAGGGCGCCTACACCTGACAGCAGAACGACTCGGGTCCTCAGCCAAAGTCTTCGATTAAATGAACACCCGAAAGGCAGAGGGTCTAGCACTGACTCATGCGGATTGGTGTCCTGGATCTTAGCAGGGAGAAGGGCGAAACCCAACTCCCACCCAGCGGTCGCCACGAGGAGGCGCCCAGGACATGAGCCAATGGCACAACAGTAGCAGCAGTGGGTAGACCATGTGTCAGGATCTAGCCACCACCAGCCTCAGCGCACCATATGATTCTTCACCGCAGTTGGGCTAAACCAACTTACACATAAACTAGGTCTTCTTAAGCTGGATAAATCTCAATCCACTTTGAAAAGCACGAAAAGAAGACGAAGGCTGGTAGATGCATGCATTTCGTATTGTCTCCTCAGTACCATTAACAATAACCGATAAGCATAGATATAGCTAACAGTGGCTGCAACCAGACAAGTTTAAGGTGCAAAACGAATGACGGAAGTTCACACCTACGTCCAAGGTAGCTTTAGGCTGACAAATAATTGTTTCTGAACACAAAAGGCTGGCTTAATCCGGCTTATTGCGACAGCCTCAGCAAACCGAAGGAAGCGGGGATTAGTGTGACGTAACACAACTTTAAACGCTGAGCCCAACTCTAATTGGTGACCCGAGTCTAATAGGTGTTTGCGCATCGAGGAAGCCGGGGGTCTGCACCAACATGGAATCTGACGAGGGTAGGCAATCTGAGCAACTTCACGTTGAACCCATCTTGGCACATGATCCTTTATTCGGGAAGTCAGCGTTCTATTGGTTCTGCCTATGTAACTTTTTCCGCAGTCACATACAAATTGGTGTACACAGTGTGAGTTGGCCCGACTCACTGAGTGCATGGAACCATTCTTCGAGCTTAGCACGACCACAAGGACTGTGCACCCGGTCCCCTCCAGCAACGACCAACTGTGTATACCAATTTGTATGTGACTGCGGAAAAAGTTACATAGGCAGAACTGAGAACTTACTGGGTTTTTTACGGTAACTGTAGCGCGTCAAGGCTACCCCGTCCATTTTTTCCTTTCAATTCGATGGTCGAAATGTTAATGAATGACTCCTGCTATCTTCTTGGGTAGATGTTTTTTCTCATACTAGGGGTACACGCACGGCGTGTAGCGTTTGGACATTTCTTATTCGCTACATTATTGTACAGTTTGTTTTAATTAACTCGATCAATACATTCTTCTTTGAATCTCGTTTTGCGTTGTCCTTCCGGTCTGCTGCTTGCATCTTCGTTGTGCTTGCTCGATGCGGTGAACTTCTCTCAAATGGCTAGGAGGTATTGTACAGCTCGCGCTACGCTGTACATCGGATCTTACTACTAGACTGGGAATCATTCGAAGTCGACAGCCTATCGTGGGTCAGCGACTTTTTGCCCAAACCGACTGATTTCTGACTAAAACTCTTTTTGTATTGATAACTTGTTTGCTTCAGACTTATTACACCCTGGGTTGCGTTCCTTTGGGTTAATTCACATTTGGTAGAAATGTAGCCCTCCTATCGACATTAAAACAATAGCGCATCATGTTACTCACGAAAAGTTTCTAAATTTTGTAGATTATTGGATATGAAATCTGTGCTCAGAAAGGCATTATCTCAGTATTACGTCAGTGGTCCGGCGGTCTTATCGAGTAGCTCATCCTCGAAAAAAAATAAAAGTGTGTTGTCTACGCATACTTGGTAACCGAATTCAGAAACCAAGTCACATTTTAAGAATCGTCGTTCTGGTCAGTTGAAACGCCTGCGAAACGAGCAATATCAAAGAATGCACAGTCAAAGTCAGAGCTGGAAGGTTGTGGAGACAAAAGGTGAGTCTGGCGTTGTGATACGCACTCATGATAGTAGGTTTTTGCTAGTTATCCTCATGTCGGTAATTTCATGGTACTTGTTACTCACATTCCTAACTAGACAGGTACAGCTTGTTACGTTAGTTCGCGTAGCTCACTGACCCACTGGACTCTACTGAGTGGTATTCTCTGACACCTTGAGAACCACTTCCACCAGGTTAGTCATTTGGTAAAGTGGGGTGGCACTCTGTAAAACTGCCCCACCATTGTCAAAGTTTTTAGTCGAGAGCCGATCACTCTGTACTTTATAAGCAGTATCCCGGCTCACGCATGAGCATGATTTTATTTTCGAACTGCCACCTGCATCGATCACTGCGAGGCTTTCAGAGTTGCTGCCTAAAGCGAGGTGAATGGGTCTAACCATGGATATTGCAGTGCCTACATTCGCTTCTTAATCTGCCTATTCTTTTCACGGAGATGTCCATTCCCACGCGACAAGGAAGTGACAGTATGTCGTGTAAACGCTACTGTCGTTTTAGATCGGACACCCAACTATCATCCGAGCACTGGCGTGCGATCGATCCAGTTGCCATGATTCATGATTTGGTGGAAAAGGTGCAAATCATTGAGGAGACAGTCAGTGTATAGAAGGGTTAGAAACAATAGAATGACTGCAGCAGAGCCATAGACTTCACGACATAATCACACAGGACAGGGCCTCAAGCCACCAACGTGGCGTGTCCAGAGGTACCCATTAATAAAGATACAGTGTATCTACGCTATGGATCACTTTGTGGCCTCAACAATCCAGATGCAATGTCGGGAAATAGCGCACGCCAAAACGAAACGTCGATCAGAATTCGAATTCAATTACAGAGGAATTCCACGAATAACGCCGGGTTTTTCTGTTGAAACTCAGCAAGCGGAATTCGGCACTGCTCACTCGGTGGTCCCGCCAGACCCGAGCGGTTCTACGCAGGCACATGTTCCTATATGGTGTTACTGGCCGCACCTCAGCGTTGCGTACCCTACTTTGACCGGTGAACAAATATTCAGTTGACGTAAACAACTATGATCCGGGTATTGAAGTGTAGTGGATCCAATTAACACGACTCGCTTCACCAAAATAACAGTGGTGAGAAAACTGATGCTCTCGATGTGGGCGAGTCACACGATGGGTTGCAGACAACTTCGCACGTGCTCGCTTTTTGAATAACTTTTCTTTATCTTTCAGATAGGAAAGCGAAACCGAAGACCAAATCCAAACCATCTGGTGTGGAAACTCCGGATCATCAGTTGATGTCCATCACCAGACAGATTATAAAATCCCGACGGTCCTTATTTGGTGGTACCCCGCAACGCGTGCAACACAAGCAAGTGGTTTCGATCCTGTTCGCCGACGAGACGTTCCGTGAGAACAAAGAAACTGTTGAAAACATCATATGTTCTTGATATTGTGATCCCGTTTCATTTTGCACATAAATCCACCACCCATGATACGTGTTCTTCACTGGTGTCGGAGTAGATTCCGGTTAGTGACTGGGGGAGAGCGAAACACGAGTGTCTCGTGATTCGTGTCATAGGTGTTACATCTTTATAGCGGCAATTCAGTTTACCCAGTCTCATGCGTCTTAGTCCCTGACCGAGGCGAAGACATCGCTTGGGTATGCTGTTTCATCTCGTCGCGGGTGGATCACGCAGATTTAGATGGCACTCAAAATGCAGAGTTTACCTGAGGGCCTCGACTAGTGTTGATTGGACCATTTTCTCACAAACAGGGTTACGGTTGTACGCCAAATGAAGTTTTGTGGAGCACACTTCCACTGTAGGCTTACCTCCGTCCGCATCGCATTTAAATGCATTGCGCCGCTTCATCGTCTGTTCTCTTTCCCTATGGGAAACGGAATCTAACGAACGAAAACGGGCGGTGTGAATGATTCCACACACATTTTCTAGGCGCCGCGATGGCACAATAGCTGGGATGTTACTCACCTTAGGCTAATGTGTAGAATCATTGAGGGACCGTGACACCGAAAAGACGGTAAAAACGCACTCGGTTAGGAAGAAAACATTTATTGAGATTTCAGTCATAATGTAGTCACCAAGTCAAACGAAAACTGAGTCCAATGACATCACGGTAACTGGTGGACGCATAAGATGACAAATATTAAATAACATGCGAGTTTCAAGTTTCGTAAGAGAAAGTTTGTCAGGTTCATCACAGCCGGGATCAAGGATTTACATTCATTAGCGAGCAGGCTCCCGAGGGAAGATTGCGCGGAACACGTTCTTGACGGACACGAGAAGACTGACGCCGATGGGGACAAACAGTGGGACGTAGATACCGTACTTCTGGTCCTCCTAACAGTGACAAAAGAGAGCATGATTATATCATGACAATGTGACGAGGAATTTGGGCAATAGTTATGGAAAACTGTAGCAGTTAAAAACAAGTGCGCGCAGGTCTAATCTGAGACACAGAAACGCACTAACGTTGAATCCAATGATGTCAGATTATTCAATTTCAGATGTCAGCATAGTAACTCTTCGTGTGGTTGCGGGCAGAAAGAGAGCACAATGGGGAATAACTCCACAGTGTACGCGAAAGTCATGTGTTACTCCAGTTCTAGTTTCCACAATACCATGCACTACCGGGAGCTGCATTCATCGATCTGAGCAGAACGACGCACTCAGTATTGCATATTATCAACGCAGCATATGCTGAAAAATATCATGACACCCGAACTCATGCGGCGCTTCAACCCATAGGTTTTGTCATCCGAACCGAGTATTTGAGGCCCGGTGGGAGTGAGGTGAGTAAACATATGTTGCAACTAAATATTTATTCGTCCTTGGGTGCATAAGCACTTGACTTGTGCTCCATCAACTGGCTGCTATCGATCCGAATGGAAGCGGCTCAGGATATAGAAAAAGGCGAATCGCAATAGTATGGATAGTTGATGATGAATAAACGGCTGACTCAGCGCACAACTTTATTCAATGCCGAAAGAAGCACATCGGAGACGAATGTCATCGCCGTGGTGCACTAGACACGTGGGTAGTAAAAAACAAACCTCAAAGTACAGTCGTCCGAGCAGAGTGTAATCAAAGAATGCACTGTTGATTGCTCCAAGGGCGTCTTCTGCTTGGGTGAACAATTGCCCAAAGTCAGTGACATTTAACCGGTCACCAACGGTACGCAGCTGGTCCAGCGTTTGACCCCACATTCGGACGGAGCGGGCAACCTCATCTGCCACGTAGTCGTTGATAACCATGTTCGGAAATCGTGACAATAAGTCAACCAATGCTGTCATTGTCATACGGATAGAGAGCAGGCTTTCTGCGGTGCGGCGCAGAAACCAGCTGTCCATCTGGAATAAAAAGGATGGTGCAATTGGGGAAAAATGTTCCCTCATGAAAACACGAAATACAACGTTGCTGCTCGGTAAGCAACAAGTTGGTGACGAATGCCAGTGAGAGTTAAACGAAATTTTCCGAAATATGCAAGAAAATAAATGGACAACCTACCTCCCAACGATCCACGGCACCCCATGCATCGCCTGGGCCACGTTTTGGGCTAAGATGAGTTTGGATATGGGCTGGTGGCTCCGGTAGTCCGGCTATCAAGCGTATAACAGCAGCCAATTGCCGTCCCACTCGAACAGCAGGCTGTTCCACGTTTGCGTCGATGGAAAAAAGCCCACCCCACTGAGGCACCACAGCAACATCGGTGAGGACAGCCTCGCCATGCGGATTGGAAGGTAAATAAAATCGCAGCGGTGTCGCTTCCTTGTCTTGTGCCAGGAGCATGATCAAGTGTAGCCCCGGTTTTGTACCTGCCATATCTCGCGTGGCTGCGGAGGCTGTTTGTGGGGCACCCAAGTAGGACTCGAGCTGATTGACGAGCGTAGACAAGTCGTTTGCTGTATAGTATTTGAAAGTTCGATTTTTCGCCATGCGACTGTAATCAAGAACGCAAACGTTTAAGGGCATAAAATAAACAATCTGTCTGTGGATCCGATCGACTACCCGAAAGTTATTTATGGATTACGCCCATAAGAACCACAAAATTTCCGCAAATTTCGTCGGGCTTATACAGTCATGGTTCACGAATCGGAGACAGCTATCTTTATTTTTTGTCACACTGCGTGGGTCTTGTTTATCCGGATTTGCTCAGGTGTGTCTATCAACAGATAGCTCGAAGAAACTGCTGAAGACCCAGGATACACCATATTCTTCGAGATGAATGTATAAGCGCACTTTGTCTGAACGAATCCGTCTGCAGTGACCAACCGTGTCCAGGACAGATGTGACCAACAGTCTTACCGATACGTGGGTCGCAATTGTGTACACACGATTAGATATATTACTAGGTTTCTTTGTTTGTGCTTGTATGGTATCTCAGATCGGGGGAAGCGACATCGCGACGAGCATGTCCTATGTGGTATGGTAAATTTTCCATTTCAAAAATGGCTGAAATGAGTACACCCGGAAGTAGTGCACAAGGGGACAGAAGTATTCACTAATCCGATGCAAGATTCCCTAAACAACGGTGTCACAAAAGAGTGCCGACGGGGAGACGGGAACAGATAACGGAGCATAAAACGGAGTGTAAAAATAAGATTTGGATAGGTCTTATGCCGTCGTCGTGTCAAACGGGTTGGTGGCAAAAAAACAATCTTGCCTTACGGGCCTTTGTGAGTAAGTTTAGACTCACTTGAAAATTATCTCAAGCCATTTGGGGATCAAACGGGAGGGATGGTTTCCACTGTATCCCTCTGCTTATCCTGAATCGTAAATTACCCACCTTTACTACTCGGTGCCTACTTGTGCAAGTAGCGCCTGGTGTGGGACCCACTGTTTTAGTGTGTGTAACGAGCGTCTTTAACATCGCAGCCTATTGAGCGGAACCAGTCCCCAGCGCTCCACAGAGAAGTATGATGTTGTGAACACTGTGGAAAATTTGGTCACTGTTCACCTAGTGTTCCTGCTAGATGTGAGCAACAACGAGAGGTAGTGCAGTGTGGTTAGCCCCTACACCTCGAAAAATGAGCATGGAATGCATAATAGCATAAGTGTTTCTCAAGAAAGGATCTGTGGCTTGACTAACAGTGGTAATGGTTGGTGAAGTTCAGGTTTTCAACTTATCTCAAACATCCCCATTGCCACATCCGGAATCTTGGAAGTGTTACCTAATCTCCGTGCTCATCCAATGGTGGCAGGCTGTAACATCCGTATGTATGTAACCATGACCTGTTCCGCCGTGGGTGCGGTTTTCCGCTACCACGAAAAAAACATGCAATTTTCACCTTACATTTGGGGAAAGCACCTCACGTGAAGCCACTGGATGCCTTAAGGTGAGTGACTGCAAACCCCTTCCCACATTCTCATCGAGTAAGCTGGTGCAACGAACTGATAATACTTAAGTGAAGTTTGAGATTTCTCACTAATGGCAGCGCGGTCAACCTAGATCTGGGATGGTATTTTGTTCAGCTGTAGTCAAGTGTCCTACACGAAGCGTTTGCGCGAGAACGCTGCACGAGACATACGGAATATAGTCGGTGCACGGTTTAAACATTTAATCGCCACTGTTAATACAGCAGACGTCAACTCCCAGACAATACTTTGATTCATAAACAGCCTACTTGAGTGATATATCCAACTGCGGCAATATGTCCGTGTTTGATGACATGCGGATGAGGGATGGTGGTTTTCAGGGAGGATCCGGCACCAGCATTGGAAAGAAATGACGGCGGTGAAATTTCACATATGGTGCATATTGATAACCGGTGTCCTCAGGACCAATGCTATTCTCGTCTTATTCACATCGATGTGTGCAAACGGAGCATGTTTGATCAAAATATCATTGCTACTTTTCCTGCGCTGTTCATTTTGCTCACCGTCTTTACGTAGCTACACGAATACCTAATGACACCGCCGTAATGAGCGTGTCTTAATACTAGATCGTCAGAAGCGGTGTTTTTGACCGCTCAGCGTTGTTACATCTACATAGCTTCTACATTTGTAGATATTTTTCAAAGATATGACAATATTTATATTCGTACTTTAAAACCGTGAAGTTTCCCCCCGATATCTGTTACAGTTTTAGAGAGAATAATTGTTTGTACTACCTAGGAAGCTTGTAAGCGGTCACAATGACCGCATTTCTTTAATTCGTTTTATGTTTTCCTATTCACAATGCTCGTAAGAGAACAGCTTTTGAGATTTTACGAGAACCTACAAATGTCGATTATAACGAGTCAGAAGACGAGGATGAATATGCTGTTAATGATAATTTCACTATTCAGGAGTCCGCAGATCTCTGATAATCGAAGTTGAGACTTTCTATGAGGACAGTGGTGACGAAGAAAACCGTGAAAGTGTGTCAGCTGTTGCTGCAATTTCCGGTGAAGTTCCCGTATCCAAAGATGGTATATCGTGGACCCCAGTAGAGTTCCAGATAACAACTGTTAGTAAGATGGCAACACATAATGTTTCCGAGGCAATAACAGGACTAACTGCCAAAACTAATAAATGTGTGAAATATGATGAGCTCTCGTGTGCTTTTGACATCATATTTACGTCCCAAATACTGAAACATATGTCCTGAAGCTGAGGCCAGGTCAGGTTAGTCTCCAGGGTCGAAACAAGCTTTCGCCTAACGAGCGTCCCGTTTCGTGTGCCGGTAAGCAAGCAAGGACCACTGGTACTTCGACACCCATACTTCTTCACTTCTACAGAGACAAAAAAGTGTAAGGGCAACCTATCATTATTTCTTGAAATCGTTTATGATGTCCTACCGACCATGGGCTGTTTGATACTAACTAGTACTCACTAATCTCAATGCGATTTCGGAAAGAGAATGAACCAATTCATATCCAGACCACTTTTATACGCTTCTATCGTAGTACACTCTACTGGTGCAGGGGGTAGTAAATTCCAGCTACGTACTACGCGGTTGGTGAAAATGTTCGTTCGAATATTCAGTCTGGACCTCTGCTTCATGAGCTTCAGTTGGTGTTCCCGCAGGTGGTCCGACATAGCTGGTTCAGAGAGATCAGTAGGCTTAATGCCACTGAGACCCTTCATAACCTTGAGCGTTTCTATCAGGTATCCCTTAGTCTGCAACGTTCCATTGAGAACAAGCTTACACAAGCCAGTCGGACAACATAAGACATTTTACGCTGGCTTTCCATCATTCTGCTGTGGTGCAATATATACGGAATGCCTGTTTTCAATGAAACAACTGGCAAGTAGATTTCGTTTTGAGATACGAATTATCAGAGGTGAAAGATTGCAGACTGACAAGTTTGCTTAGATTTCTGAACTCTCAATCTTTATACCTTCTCTAAGCAAGCGACATCCTTTCGAAGATATAGTGCGCAAGCCTGAATACAGTCCTCTAAATGCGGCCGAACCACCGCTTTGTATAAAGGGAGAAAAACCTCGGGTTTAGTATTAAACAACGCTTTCTTGAAGCGAAAAAAGCTCCTGTCACGACTTGTTAGCAACATGTTGGCACTGCGTTGAAGGCCTGAAGCTATCTACCATAATGATGCCCAAGTCCCTGATCTTGTCTACACACTGCAATGTCAGGGACCCAGTAGATGTTTGCATCGTAACCCAACTTGCTGATAACAGCTGACGTTTGTTCGCGTTTAATGGCAAGTTCTATGATGTAGACCACTTTGCTACAGTACCCAGGTTTTTTCTATCTCCCCTAATGAGAAGCTTTACATCATCCGCAAAAACATAACAAGGGTTCTTCGAGGAGTGGGGCTATATCATTTATAAGCATAAGAAACAAGCATGGCCCTAACACTGAACCCTGGGGGACCCGGCTATGAGCAGTGCCCGTACTAGGGTTTGACCTTGCAAATTCTGACACCGAACGTTCTGCTACAGAGAAAATTCGATAACCTAGTCAGCTGGGGATGCAACCCAAACCAAGCCAACATTTCTAGTAAAAATCGTTAATTAACCGGGTCAAATGCTTTACTGAAGTCTAAATAGAAGACCTCCATTGGAACCCGATATCGAGGCACCGAGTTATTTCCTCCAATAAACACAACAGGTTTTTAAGGCATGACTTCTTTCTAATGAAACCATGCTATTCCGCTCCAATTAAGTTGTTAACAACTAAGTTCGGTGCCTAATGAGCTTCTCCGGGCACTTACCCATTACACTTGTCGGAGTGACGCGCCAATAGTTCAGTGGCACAGACTTGGAGCCCTCCTTATTAATTGTCACAATATTCGACTCTATGGCAGCCTGCCTTCCCGAAGAGAAGAGTTGAAAAGTCCAAAACGGGATACTGGAGAATATAAGCGAGCGGTTTGACACTCGCTAGCTGAACGTTGTCAGGACCTGACGATTTATAGGGGTTTAAACTAGCCAGCACCTCAAAGACTTCTGATGCGAAGTGTGACTGCGAAGGGATTGCACAGTCACTGTCCGCAAGGTGCAGGTTCTGAGAGACACGCAATAACACCCTCGCCTTGGCTGCATCTTCCACAACTTGACTACCACCTTCCTTAGTCAGGTTACCAATTCCCTCCCTCTAAGAAGCTTTTGACTATACCTAACTGTAATACAACTTCGGATTTCTTTTTGCATTCTGAGCTAATCTGAGCTCATGACGATATTTAGATCGCCTCTGCAATTTGATTGCTCTCTTCTGGTATCGTTTATAGTGTAGCCAATGTCGAAGAAGAAGAACCATCTCCGGATTCCTGTAACCTTCACAAAGTTTTGTGTCTCCGAAGCATTCCGGCATCTCCCTTCCGCCACCAGCGGGATTTATTCCTGCTTCTTTCGGGGCGCAATGAGGTGAACTTTTACAGCAATTGCACGAGGCCAGATTTAAGCATGCCTCATCTTTACTCCAACGTCGTCTGTTCTTGAGCAGGGACCCAAAGGAGCTGGAGGGCCCTGTTCCGCAAATGACTAATATCGATACGACCGGACTTAATCAAAATTCAAGGTTTCAACGACAACTTCTGTACAGTGATCGTTCCTATCTATGGGGGCCTCCGCATGCATCTGTTACACGGCCACGCCTAGTGATCACAACATCTAAAGTGGAGGGGGTAGTCCCAATTCGACATCCCGCCGTAAAGACGTGTTGGACTAACGTATTCTCGTGTATCCATTTAACCAACTCCCACTCCAAAGTACCTGTCACCATGACGGAGTGCTCCCAGCCTGCAAGCCGGATTTTAGTCACCAAATATATTAGGCAGCGAAGCGGAGCGA